CTACCAGGAGCAAGAAGCTACTAGTAACAAGGGCATCGCTACTAGTAGCATTGAAGTCTTTCGTCGGACGTGTTTGTTCATTGCGGGGATGGTTGCCAATATCGCATGGACTTCCCGTTGAAGGGTCTGTTTGCATATCACTGGCTATCAGTTAGACCGAGAGAGTTTGTACCACGGAAAGCAATAATTGTGTGTTCCGGAGCTTTGTTTGTGTGTGTGAACCTTCTGGCGCTGTAGGTTTATAAACATGTTTAAACCTAACATACCGTAATACCTACAGTAACTAGCTTGCGTGTTCTATGTTGTATTTGGAGCTTCTTAATTGCAGGTAATTGGCTGCTGCACTAGCTGCCACTAGCTCTTATGCTTTCATGAATCCATAGCTGCTCCCAAACCCACACCTTCTCGTCGACGTACACCTTCGATGGGTGACTTGTTGGTTCTCGGTGTCGTTGTTCAAAAAGTCAAAGATGTCTTGGAGGTTTTGGTCTTGAAAGGGGTGAAGGTGAAGGGGGTGGTTCTCGAAAGAGATGGGCCTCGAAAGAGTATGCGCTCTCGGAAGAGTTGGGTCTGTTGGTCTTGAGAGAAGGTTTAGAGGACTCTCGAAAGAGGTAAGTGGTGGCCATGCATGACCGCTGCAATGTTGACATGAAGGTTCTTGTTCCCCCATCCCCAAACCAGATGAGCCTGTTTGTTTGGGTGGTTTGCTCAGATGAGCCAAAAGTGTGTCTGCACATGAGCCGAATATCTGAAGCATAGTGAGCCGTGCGCAAGCGAGAACATATGAAAAAAATGCGCGTGCACCAATGAGTCCCTACCCGATGGGAGTGTGGTTGGAAAAGGTTCTGACATTGGAGGCACCCACTTCTTTGGACAGTCCGGTCAATGAGCAATCCCTACCTGGACCAACAAATCACTTCTCTGTCCGGTCATGTCCTTTCCTCCGGGATTTCCGCGGCCGGTGAACGCGCCAGGTCCCGCAGTCGGGAATCGCGGGTGCCCGTTTCGCGGAGTGGCTTGTGGGCAACGAGGCGGTTGGGGTCCGGGATGGTTTCGGGGGTTCCAGAGGAGCGCGCGAAATCATTAATTTTTGTTCGCAGACTTCTTCATGTCAATTTGGCTAACTTGATCAGGATCTTTTTCCGGGTGAATATCACTTGTCAAGATGGGTGTCTACGTGTGTCTACACCAGACTTTGGACCTCTACACACAACTTCAAGAATCAAGACAATTCGAGGTGATCCATCCAACAATGGCAATGTGAATGTCAATCTGCTGGTGTTGGGTGCTTGTTACTGCGGACGACCACTCGCCCATGTTAACCGTCAACGACGCCTTGATCGTTTTCTGAAATGCGTACGAGATCTGCATAATTCTAAGACAAGGGCACGCAAATGCATTGTGACAAATGCTCTTGGTGTAATCGTGGTAGAAGAACCTTTATCCTAATTCCCAATTGATTAATCACATCATGCACATTGTTGCTTTTCGAGGGGCAGGAAGGTCGTTCACCCTGCAAAAGGCCGAGTCTGGCACAACTTCAAGAAATTGACACACAATTTACACTTTGTATCACCTTGTCAGACCAGAATTTCTTCCAGCCTATCGAATTCGCACTCAAGAGACGACCCTTTCTCACGAAAACCAGGGGTGTGACTATACCCGGGAACTTCGGCACGTCAGCCCATTGTCGCCCAAACCCCCATGTTTGACCCATCCCACATGCCGTGAGTGAGCCAGGTGCCGCGCGTGGACTGCGCGGACGAGGCGGGCTTTCAAAACGCCTTGGCCTTGGTCGCGCAGCGTGCCCGGGCACTTGGTCCGCGCGGGTGGAGGGTTGAGTCGAAATCGTCACGTGCTTTCGTGGTGAAAGGACGAAATGCCACCGTACTCTTATGGTCCCAGAGCATAGATTGTTGCGGATGCCAAGAACATCCAAGAACCTCAGGAAAAGTCTCGTTGAAATACATATAGAAATATATCAGCTTATTAGGATATGAATACCAGGTGGTCCAAGCAGATTGAAGAATGCTTTCAACCAATCTTTTACTGCAATATCTTTAAGAACTCTTTTTCGATCCCTTCTACGGCGTGGACGGCAAGGGCCAACCCACCGCTCCCTGCGTCAAACGCAGAGGTTCCAGTGGTGATGTTGAACCTGAACGTCATGCCGGCCACGCGGGGAGCCCGGTGGATCTGCACGACACCGCATGCCGCCTGGGAGACCTGGAACGCCCAGAAGAATAAAAAAGCAGACAGTTTTCTGGTGTGCGTGTTGTTTCCCAGTAATTTTTTTGGGGTTTCTTTGGAGAACAAACTGGTTTTGGATGGAGGAATTGGAAGGTTATGTACTATACCAATCTTGGGTAGAGATGATCCGGAAAGATTCAGTGATACCCCACCTTTATAAAGTTATAAGTTATAACAATAATACTATATAATATGTAAGCTTTCTACCATGTGCTGACATGAAGATACAGAAACAGCAGTTTTGTTCCTGGGAGGTTAACATTGTTTCGTTTTAAACTAGCTCCAACATGGTGATGTGCAACTTAGGCAGAAGTGGGACGTGGAGTACTTGCGTGTGGTGGCCCATGTGGGCTGGCGGTTGGTCCCTTGCATTCCTGACCAAACCAATGCCCTTGGAGATGCTCACCACGTCAGTCAATTTCTCCAAAGAAGACCACCCATGCGACTGGACACCCAGACCTTCCCTTGGTCCATTTCAAGAGGCTCCTGAATGGGGATCCTATGCCACGATGGTCTGAGACGGAGCTTCACAATTTGCCAGGCCCTTCCGATACCGTGCCTCCTACCGTTTTGGATAGCCAGCCATTCGTGTAGAAATCCCCAAGCGCAGAAGGGATTCACTAACTACTTAATGAGTGATTGGATGAATTTTGGGCACAATATCTACATATATACATATATTAAATACAGGTCAAGCCATTTGGTGTCGACACCAGGTTTGTAGGGGAAGTAATGTTGCATTCTTCTTGCCCGAGAAATTGACAACACCCAGCAGGTAATAATTGATAAAGGACTTCATTCATTTCACCGAGTTTGTTCATATAAACACAGTACTCAATGAGGTGTTTGCCCCGGAGTAATGAATGACATTTTTTATCACAGTGAGAACAAGCATCCTATCGGTTTTTAGGAAGATCATCAGAACAGCGATTCTCGGAAACGGTGCCCAGACCAGAAGTATCAAGTCCCATCCTCCACACCCCTGGGAACATGGCGGGCTTGACGCTGGGAGGTTCCCACTGCAACGAATGGCCTGGCATGAACGTCTTGCGATCTGACCGTGTGCCGTCTCAGTTTGGAATTTGCTGACCGCCGCAGGAAGAACGGAGCTGAAATTCAAGGAACAGGAACGCATGTATCTATAGAAGTGGGAAAGACATCGACGTGTGATGAATGCGGTTGTCTCATGTTCTTTCCATATACACTGGGGTGCCGAAAGTTGCGCTTCTTGACTTCTAAAACGGGACAAACCCTTTCCCCTTAGAATCCTATGTGCAACATGTTGACACCTAAGTTGCAGTCAGATTTCCACACCTGAAAGCCTTATAAGTATTATCAATTTAAACGGGTGTGGAAATCACCTAGAGCTTGGAAGAAACAGTGTTGAATTGGTTGGCGTCGCTCGCTGGTGCAACTTCGCCGAGAGCTAGGAACTCCTTAGATCGTGCCGATGCTGTGGGCTTTCGATGTTCATGAAGATTCAACAAACTAGCAGTCCCAGACCATCCATGCATGGAATAGCTCCTTACATTAGGGTCATAAAATGGGTAAATGATCTATGTAACTGTATGTGTATGTAGACCCCCCCACGAACCTAAATGGAATGATTGGCTCCTTCAAGAGGCTTGCTGAAAAGGCTCTTCCCACGGGCCAAAAAACCATCTGTGCCAGAGTCCGACTTTTCCTCTTGAGCAGACGCAATGTCCAGTTTTTGTTTTCAAGCTATGGAGATTACCGGGTCAACAACCCCTGGTGTCCCTGGTGTGAACATCTGCATTTCACTGCCCCTGTCTGATACTTCACTCTTCTTCACATCTTCAACAGAGAAGCGGCCAAAACCTCCCACCTAACAAGAAGAGAGATTAACGTAAGATTCCTTTAACATTTGCTACATGAACCAACTCTCAGTATAAGTGCTTTTATAAACCAGATTCATGTATCATTCTCTGTTCTTGCCAATTGCCGAGCGGAAGTGGTTTGGAGTCACTGAGCTGCACTCAACATATTCTTCCCCGCCAGCCGAAAACAAACAAACAAATGCTTTTTGGGCGCCCCCAGGTTCCCAGAATCGCTACCTGTACTACGTCCCGGTGTGCCCGGCTGACTGCGATTCGATCGGCTACCGGTGTGGCGGCGACGGAGAACGACCTGTTGTTGGGGCAAAAAATGCTTGATTGGCATGTCAACAAGCTTGGAAAGGTGGACATCAAGTTCTAGAAACACTGAGGATGTTTATAGAAGCGAAGCAAAAGGAACCGCGTGTGATGCTATTGGGACGAGCTAGTTCGGCAATCAAATGATTTTGTTGGATTGAATTTACGGCTAAACGACAAATCCGTAAGGACAAGGCGATTTTGGGAACTCAAGGAAGATGAGCACCAAACGACGCCTTCCTCACCTTCAAAATCTTCAATGTGTGGGCTACTAGGGTTCTTGGTATGCCAGATGAGTCAAGACACGTCAATGAATACCAGTAGAATACCTTTGTGACATACAAGTTGCTATTGAATGCCATTGCAAATACAACCATATAAAGAACAACCTTTTGAATGAGATGTGCTCACCCTCACAGCAGCCCTTCCATCCACCAGCCCATCCATGGCAGCACATCTTTGCCAAGTGCATCCGATCGCTGCGACGCTGCGGAGGAGCAAGCTGACCGCGACATGTCGGCCTTCCGCGATGCTCCACGTCGCGCGAGCCACTGGGCCCATGGCGCGGCCAATCATCCGTTCGGGAGGGAAGCAACATGCGAGTTTTGCGAGACTTGCCGGTAAGAGGTAAGGATGGGAATGTTCGAGGGTGATGGTGCAGCTGGGTTTCTGTCATCCACTCTGAACTGGATGAGTTGGATCACAGCTGTTCGGAATGGCCTTGGTTGTGAAAAGGATGCAATTGATGTACCCCAGAGTCCCACTAGCAGACACGACTGTTGCTGGGCACTTGCCACAATGCTGATGTCCTTTGGTTTCAACTTTTTGTGATGCGAAGATGCTCAGGACCTTGCTTCGTTCCCCTTTTGACCTTCGCACACGAGTTCTCAGGTTGGTTCGCAGATCGGTGTTGCACTGCGCACCTGAACATCGCTCGCTTTTGTGGGCCTGGTCCGCTTTCTGAGGGTTCGCGTGGGACTGAGGGACCCCGGGACCCGGCATGAGGCGCTGACTTACGCTTCTCCTTTGAGGGATTCTTGGAGAGGAGCAAGCAGGAGATTGGGCGAAAAAGAGAGGTCAGATGGGGTGCCCTTTGGAGTCACCAGATGGGGCGGATTCTCCACTGGTGGAGACATGTGGATACTTTCGCTTCTTGGTCAGTGCTCCTTTGAGCAAACAGTTTGATGTGTTAAATGTGTCTCTTGCTTTGGGCCCATCAGAGAAAGGCTTTCACGATGTGAGTTCTGTTTATTCTTGGAAGTTTGGTAACTTGTCACTGGTCACCAGGACCCAAACATCAAACGCTACTGATTACTCAGCATCCTTCCAATGGTTTCACCGTTGTTTTGCTGTGCTAATCACCCATGTCCGGCTTTCCTCTCCTCTGAACACGCTCCCAGGACCCCAGTGGCTGCTATTATTTGCAAGCGCCACTGGTGTTGCCTGGGCACCCAGGGCAACCGGAGTTACAGGGAGCGGTTGGAAGAGGGGAGTCGGAAGAAAGATTTGGGGACATATTGAGAACCTCGGGATGGGGTGATATCTTGTAGGGCAATCATTGCATGAGTTTCCAGAAGAAAGGGTCGAATTGGTCACTGATGTGGCGACCTTTATGCTGGAGAGGTCCCCATGTGCAACTAGGTCTCCAAATTGGGCTTCCGTGCTGTGTGTTCTTCACTGTTTAGAGTCCCTTTTCCAATTTTTGTGGGCCAAGGCCAAGGCCAAGGGGTATGGAATTCCTACAACACTGCATGGGACCATATATTCATTCATTGTGAAACGCCATGGGCCTCTTGGGTCGTGCGCACCATGACCGTGCATGAGATCTGTCAGGGCTTTTTTCCCCTATAGTTTAGATATTTCAGAGACCCCCCAGTGAGAACCTTTCGTAAAAGCAGATCAAATTCACCAACTTCACCAGGCTGTTTACACAATGCTTCGGTCGTTTTTCCTATCCCAGCAGGTCTTCTGGACCTCATTTCACGGTCCGTTCATACAAGACGATCTTCTTTCTGAGTTGCAAGGACGCTACGAACGTAGCTTCTGGCCTTACTACTAGGAACAAGGAAGCTGCGAACGTAGCTCCTGGCACTTCTAGAAGCTTTCTGAGTTCGTTCATTCCCCATAGTAGTAAGCGTCCTTGCCCCTAGTAGTAAGGCCAGGAGCCCCTAGTAGCCTCCTTGCTCCTAGTAGCGATGCCCTTTGTTACTAGTAGCTTCTTTTCTCCCAGCTCTTGGGGTCGGTCTCTTTCTCAGCCGATCGATGCCGATGAGGCGTCAGCCCGCCTCGGCGACGGCTGAGACCTGGAAGCTCCAGGAGACCTGGAGTCCAGGCCTTACCCCCGAACTGCGCAAGGCGACCGGGAAGACGAGACTGTGGACGGGGATGGGGGGATGGGTATTTGATGGTATTTGTCATTCATTCAGGGCAGAGAGGTGGCGGTGGTGGCGCGTTTGAATTCAAACAGATATGACATAAGACATAAGACTGTATATTGAATACAAGCTGCAAGCTGTAATTGCAAGGGTGAATTGAACATGCAAATAGATGCAGATATTGTAGTATCATGACGGGTTCCGGTCATTTTCATTTTGTCGTTCCAATGCTCGTGTTGCACAGCTTCGCCGCACGCGAAGCTGCGCAAAGCTTTTCGACAAGGGTTGAATCCAACTTTTGAAAGCACAGTTTCAATATCACTCCTCCGAAACGTCCTTCGGTTGCATTCTTCCACATGGAAGAGCAGCCAAAACGCACCGCAATGGATCCGAGCGAGATGCACGTGTGCCCGGAACGCCCCAAATCAGCGAGATGCACATGCCACATGCAACCTTTCCCCCACGATCCATGACCACACATAGTAAAGACATGGAAATGACCTCAGACCTCCAAGTAGGAATCTTCAGCACCACGTGTAAGTGTGAACATTGAGGAGTAGTGGAAGCCACAAGTATTTGATTGAACTCGTGTGATGCTATGGGAGGTGGTGGATGGTTGTGGTTGCCAAGCTCCAAATGAACCCGCCTGGCAGTTTGCGTGCAGCGCGCACGAATTGTTACTCTTTCAACAGCTACTGTTTCAGAGGTAATTATATAGGTTACAGTTACAGTTTTGATTTCGAATACAGCTGGCTAGAAGATCCGCGCACATCCTGACCCGTGCGATTGCAAGTTTCATAGCGCAACCCGCGTGTATAGAGCAGTGGACTGAAAAAGGGGGTATTCAACAATGTTTTTCTTGCCTGCCACATGCAGTCAGGAAATGTATCCACATACATGTGTTTGATGTCCACACTGTTTTTATTGTCATGGTTATCTTCATCATCGTCATATTCTCATGTAGCATACGTGTCTGGACTTGAACTCTAAGGGACATTGGTCACGTGATGTCATATTCTCATGTTGCAACCATTTGCCACGTGATTTGTTGTCTTCGAGACCCAAACGAGATCATAGGATCAATCAAGGTTTATCAATGTTGTGATAGCAATCACAATCACTCACTTGGAGAATTCATGATGAGAAAACATATCAACAGGCGCCAACCACCCATGCACCTCCGACAATGACGATGGATTTTTGGATACATTTCTCGTATCACAATTCCCAAATAATGGAATGAGGTCACTTCCATTTCTTTACCATGTGCGGTCATGGATCGTCAGGGCATATACATATGACCGCTGAAACCACTGAAACTGATCTGATTGGTCAAACATAGCAGTTTTATGGTGCCTGGGATATGGCATGCTGAGCATCGACGGTTCTTGACTGGGAAATTGGAGAAGTTTGAAGGCCAAGGACTACTTTTGGAGCATGAGGGACATTGCGACACAATGAAGTCAATGATGTTTGCCCGTTTGAGGGAAAGATGCTGGTTGGGTGAAGCTGGACCCCTTCTGCTCGGTTCTGCACTTCAGTGTGTTCAAACCCCAAGCGTTCGGCATGTGCGTATGCCTCGAAAAAAGCAAGAACACGTCCCACAACAGCGCGCTGCATGGCAGGATTGTGAGTCCCGAGTGAACTGGCAACGCTTGGAAGCTCTTCAGGTGTCGGACACAGGTTGGGAGGAAGGTGTGGAATCGGTCCCGAGAACCTCATCACAGTAACTAACTGGCTGGGAGTACTTACCAAATTGCCCTGGAAGAGGTGAATCTGTTATGTAGAGCAGGTTGGCGCGGCTTGCCTCTTTGACCGCTGAGGGCGATGGCTGCGGAAAAGCAGGATTGTCAAACGGCGGCTTTCCACACCAGGGCTGTCATCAAAAGCTGCCATTGCTTCACAATGGGCAGATGGAAGTGGACCATGTACTGTGCGCCATCTCTTTGCAGATGTAGGTTTTGGTCTACTCAAGAGAAAAGAGATAAGGTTCACCTTGCACCTACAGTGTGCGGTTTTGTGGTTTTGACCCAAACCATCCCAGAAGTACAGTTCCCAGTGGCAGAAATTCTGGTCCCTGTTGGCGATGCTGGGAATGGTTGTTCCAATTGACGCAGATGGTCGTTGGAACGTACGACCTTGCGCTGCACGGGGGTCCAACTTTTGTCGTTGGCTGGGGGATGTGCCCATTTTCTGACCAAACTCCGAACTCAAGTTGTTACACACTCCTTAGTGGATTTCGACTTCCATGACCACCGTCCTGCTGTCACGGAGGCAACAAAGACGTAGAGGTGATCAGAGGTGTGACATTTGCGAAGGCCTTTCTGGGATTCGCAGACACAATCATCACATATCCTCGAACAAAAAACTGGAAATCCTCACACATCCTGGATCATCCTGGTGGAAATCTCATGAAATATCCGAAATCAATCGAAATCATAAATCAACACTCACATATTTTTGGGGTTCATTCCTCTTCCCTCCTCATTCTTGCTGTCCCCTCTTCTAACCAACACACCCATCACTTCCATTCCCGTAGGCGGCGGGCGGCTTTGGGGAGTGGTCGCGGTCCCAGCTCTTCGTGGGCCCCAGCGAAAGCACGGGACGCCTGGGAGTCGAGTCGGGAGTCGTCGGCCTGGTGAACATCGAGTGAGGAGGGTCCTCAGATCTTCCGATGATAAACATCACACGATAGGCTAACGATAGGAAGCTTCTTGTTTGTGACATGCTTTTTTTTTGTGACATGATGTTTCTACTCGATAGGCTAATGTTATAGATGTTATAGGTTCTTGTTTGAGGATCTTGGGGAGGGAAGCAGCGAAGCAGGTGAAGACGTTCCAAGAACACATGTCCCTTTTAGATGATGGAAGATGGGTCATCGGAATCCGTACGCTTCGAGTCATTGACCTGTTCTCCACGGCTCGAGTTGGCCTCCCAGACGGTGGATGAACATCATCGAATCCGATGTCTTCCATTTTAAACCCCAAAGCCTTCCAAGATCTTTTGAAACAATTCGATTAATTAATATTGTTTGATTCTATGTAACTATAGTAGTCTATGTCTATAGTCTATAGTATTCTGAGTAAAACTGACGTGTGGTTGGAAGCCGCCTACAGGGTCTAATCACAAGTATACATCGTGTAACTTTTAGAGGCTCCAAAAAGAAAGGGGAGTGGGTGAACTTCTGGTTCCACTTTCTCCACTGCTTGGATTCAGAAGGTCAATTGAACTTGGTCTGACTCTTGGAGGGGAGGAGCTGCTTGTCATTGTGGCGCTTCGTGTGACTCTTGTGACCTCAAGGAGGTCATCGCTCGTGTCCAAGGTTGTCGCAGCTCGCAACGTTTGCGAAGGAATTTCTTTCGCCGACCACCCATCCGGAAGGAGTCTTGCCGTCCAGAACCAACCCAAAGCTGGTTTCCAAATGGTGCCAAATGGGTGTGTATTCAAAGAGGGAGACCTCCCAGTTCGACTCCCTGGCAGAAGGAACATAGAGCTAGGGGGTCTCCCTACTAAAATGTACACCCAAAAGGGAAACAAAAGGCGCCCAAACAACAACTGGACCTTTCGATCCGTCGAAGAAGGAGCATGAGTCCTTTCGGTGGATGAGTCGTGTCGATCCGCGAGCTGCAGAGGTTTATCGCCCATTCACTACGACCAATACGTCGGGGGCCCCCAAGAACCGCACCATGCTGGGTTGGGTTGCTGGATGAGCTGCTCCAAAGACGAACGTGGGGGGCGTGGAAATTGGAATTGGACCGCGGTGCTTTTTGGATTTCGATGGGTTTCTGAATGTCCTGACTTGGCGGATTCGCCTTGCATTCGTTTGCGGCGGCCGGCCTCGGAGGAGATTCTGTGGACAACCTGACATGTGGTTTTGTAGCTTCGCATTGATGGAATCGAAGCCGGCTTAAGCTCAAAGCAAGTGTTGGATGGGAGAAGTCTTCCCTGGCTTCTGTTGGATTGGGGGGCACTGACAGGGTCAGGATGAGCTCTTCTTCCTTCGGATGGTTTGTATTTCTCATCAACTAGAGGATTTTTCCATATCTTTCCCATACATGTATGGAGTTATCCGCAACCGCAACCACCCCCAACTGATTGGTTTTTCGATGCCCGTCCCAGACAGGTCATGTCTGATGTGTCCAGGGTTTGCTGCTCGGTGCTTTCTCGGTGACCCCTGGCATCCTTTTCTGCAACTCCCAGACTCTCAGCGGCTGAGGACAATATCTACCTACAGGCACCGGAGGGGGGCACTTGGAGCTGGTCATCGGAGGTTCCACGTCGATTTGAGGGCACCATTCAAAGGTGGTGCGATGGTCCTTCGTACTTTGTTTAAAGTTGATGCCAAGTCGCAAAACTGGAGTATTTTGAGCGCAAAGAGGTCTCAAATTAGCGGTCCATTCATGTCATTTTCACAGATCCATCAATGGTGATTGCATATGAGCTAGAGGCGAAACAGTTCATGTAAGTGCTTGATCTTCGAGGTTCCACTTTATGATGTGAGTTGCCTATGCCCTGTAAAACGATATAGCGAACTATATGATGTGAGTGTCTCCAAACCATGTAAAACGATATAGCGAACTACCAAAAACGATACTCTGAACTATCAGACCTTGTTCCATTGTTACTGTTCATTTTCATTGTTTGAGTTTGGTCGGTTATCTTCTAGGTTTTCAAAAGAACAATGGCACTCATCCGGGTGTCTTTTGGCAGCTGCTAGACTGAGCTTGCGGTTGTGACAGAACCCTCACACGCATGTGCGAAGTCAAAAAAGGATTATACCAAACCCTGTAAAACGATATGGTGAACTACCAAAATCGATAACCTTGTCAAAGTGGAACCCAGTTTGCTGGGAGGTTTTGCCGGTCGCTCATATGATATAATCCCTTCATTGTAGGTGCTGCAGGTCTTGTGTCACATGACCTCCAATATCATCGTTCATGTGAAGGTTCACTCAGGAATTTGTGTGTGGGCGTGGGCACCAGAACTGAATCAATGACACCTCAAAGATCGGGCAAGTTCACATCTCTGTTCACCGGTTCCACACGGTGCACTGGTGCCGTGTGATACCGTGTCACCATGTGCCGCCTGAATACTCCTGTGGGAGTCGCGCTCGTTCGTCGCCTTGATTTGATTCACGAGTTCGTTGCCTTCGCCAGATGAAGCCCAGGTCAGAGGCCAGAAGCGCTTCTTGCTCTTTGACCCTCGATGTGCTGAAGGGTCCCTCGATGTGCGGAAGAACCCCGACGGACGATTTTGGAAAGGCGATTTTGGAGGTTGAACGTTTTTATCATGGTATATACATATAAGTGCACAGATGTGTATATGGTCCTTCGTCTCGTAAGTAAAAACGAGGTTGGGTTATGTTTTCATTGCAGTGTTCTGGCTTAAGCGTGTATGGGAGATAAGCTAGCGCACGACTACTCGAAGTGTGGGTGCCGCTGCTGCGGGATTCTGGCCCGCCTCTCGAGCTTCCTACTGAGCTCGGGGACTCGGGAGGAGATCCGGTCGGCGGCGGCGCCTTTGCTCGAAGGGCTTTACACTCGGCTGCTTGAACAGGCCCTCAGGGTTCATGTGGTTCGACCCGGATCTCCTCCTGGTGCAAGCGGCGGCCGCGAGGAGAGTGGATCGGGGGGTGCAACCCCTGGTACATCGGGAGCAGGAGCTCCTGACAAGCCAGGCGAGCAAGCGCCTGCGGCCTCGGGTGCGGCAGCTCCTGGTGACACAAGGGCTTTAGAAAGCCCACCGCCTGAAAAAGAAGGGGGCGGAACTACCAGCAAAGGTCGGGGACTGCCACCCCTGGCCCGGCTGAGGAAGAGAGATCGACGAGACGAAGGCGATCAACTTGTCGAGACAAAGGTCAAGGAGGAGCAGCCAGTGGACAAGAGTGAGCCCCTTGTTGACGTCAAGGAGAACCGACACGACAAGAAGAAGGAGAAGGAGAGAGAGTCGAAGCACAGAACTTCGAAGGAGGGCCGTGAGGAAGATCGTCGCAGGAAGAGGTCAAGAGAGAGAGAAAGGACACGGAGGTCGCGGAGTAGATCACGGAAGAGAGACAGGAGGCGAAGAGAGAGGACGCCGCCCAAGACACCGTCACCCTGTGCAGAGTCACTGCAGGAGGGAGGCGAGAGTGAAGAGAGATCGCCCCAAGCCCAGGGAACCCCCAGGGCCACCTCCTGGTTACGAGAGAGACCAGTGGAGAGGATCAAACTGGGGTGAGAAGAGCAAGCCAAAGAAGAAGAAATCCAAAGGGAAGAAGCACGTCCTCAGGAATCAGGATTATTGGCGCAGTTGGAGAGAGAGGCAGAGAGGAGCACGGCTATGGCGCCCAAGAGGAGGCCAGCGGCCGAGGCGGGGCGGCCGAGGGTCGTGAGACGGCGGCCGGCCGCCCTGGTGGTAGAGGGAGAAGAGCCGTGGGTGTCCGCAGAGGAGGTCACGTTGGCGCAGATGGAGGCGTGGCCGAGGATGCGAGTACAAGGAGAGTATTGGGAGGAGGCCGTCGACTGCATTGTGGAGATGATCGAGTTGAAGGCCAGCAGGGGAGACCGGGAGCTCCTAGCAAAAGCCATGGGCACTTCAAGCGAGGCCCTCCTCCGCTACATCAGTGGGGTGCCGGAGAAGTCAGTTCGACTCCATCTATGCGGGGTGAGGTGCGACAGGAGGACTTGGGAGGACGGTTTGATCCATGTGACCCAGGTCAAACAGCATCGAGCAGGCGACGTGGCTTGGGAGAAGAATTTGGAGACAAGTCGAGCAGAGGCAGAGAGGGACGAGTTAGAACGTGTTCATCTCGAAGCTGCATCCCGCGGAAAAGGACGAGGTCTTCAAGCCGGACCACCAGCCGCGGCAGAGAAGGTCGAGGCCCCTGGAGGATCGGGGGATTCAGACGAGAAGAAGAAAAAGAAGAAGAAAAAGCGGAAAGCCAAACTGAGGATAGAGGCAGTGAAAGACCATACCGTCCTCTTCAAGAACACGGGCATGGATGCGGACCCCATCAAGCGGAAAAGGTTCAGACGCCGTGCCAAAAAGTTGACCAAGAGGGGACGGAACAAGGACAGCTCCTCAAGCGGAAGTTCAGCCAGTTCGACATCCTCCAGCCAGGTCGGCGAGGGGGAGGACTATTTCGGGGAGCTGTTCACACCGCAGACCAGCGCCCAGAAGATGTGGGAGAGGCTGCCTGGAGTATTAACGGCCCAGCTGCTACAAGATGCTCAAAGGAGCATGTTATTACAGATGGGGAGTATGGCATCGACCTCAGGACAGCTGCAGCCTCTTACATCCCAATATGTGAGGCAGCAGATGGGAGCAGCTATGTCACCAGTGATTTACCGGGAAGCTATCCATTGGGCTGCCACCTTGGACCTGATGGTCCAAGGAAAGGTGGCGTCGGCTTGCGATGTGATGTCACAGAGACTCAAATCACTGGAAGCCTTGGCGAAAGGCATGAAGGTCGACTTGATCAAACAGCTGGAGTTGATCCAAGTGGACAACTATGGCCTGGCGAGCTCAAGCGAGCTGCACCAGGCAGGCAAGACAGCGCACGAGGAGAACAAAGATCTACGGCAAGGCCACGGGGAGACTTCCGGACTACAGAGATCGCTTCAAGGAGAAGGGAAAGACCAAGGGCGAGAAAGGAGACGGCAAGGACAAAGACCG